ACACAAACATCCTGTATTCACAGTACACACACTACATCCACCACAAATTGAAACACTCTGCATTAACTATACACAGACACTGCGTCTACTACACACACTACATCCACTACAGACACTGCATCCACTAAACACATTTCATCTAGTACATACAAACACTACATCCACTACACAAACACACTCTACATCACTGTACACACTACATCCAGTACTCAAACACACTCTGCGTTCACTATACACACTGCATCCGCTACACAAACACACACTCTACATTCACTGCACAAACAGTATCTAATACACACAAACACTACATCCATTACATACATTCTAATTCACTTCCAGTATACACACCACATTCAGTCCTGCATCATTGTCAGCGGACTAGGTAGGGCGTTGGCGGGACCGGGATGGAGGGGGGTGAGGGCCCAGACCTTGTGCTTTGTCAGGGGCCCCAAAATTTCTGATGGCAGCCCTGCAGAGGATATACGTAGGTCTTTGGCAGAGCGTAGGGGCCTCGACAGGACATACTTGTGTATTAGGGAGGATTTATCTTCCAATATGATTTTTTGAGGCTTTTTACTAAACACCAGATTCTAGCGAATTGAAAACTGAATTATACAATGTAGACCAATATTGGTGATTTGAAAATATTCTACAACTTAGCCTCAGTCAGAATTTGCATATTTTAGTCTGAATTTCACCACAATTAACTGTTCAGTGAATTCATTCTTATGGCTGTCGTTCACCAATAGCTGAGCTGGCTCCAGGATAGCCTATAGCAAAATATAAAACAACCCTGTTCATCATGCAATTTTCTCTAAATATGTTTCATGGCCAGCTGTATGCACTCTCTGGAATCACTGGTAAGCGTGGACACATGGTCAATTCGAAATACATTGAAAGCTTCCCCGACAAATAATAAAACCAAAAGAAAAGAAGCAATTCAGCATTTGCTGAAGCATGTGGAATACTCGATTGAAATAGATAACAGAAAAGGCAGTGTGTCTCCTCATGTTTCACACAGCAGAGAACGTATTCATCGGCATACGGTGAACCTGTTGATACTTGGATTTAGGAATACAAAGAAGAAGTGGAGGGAGAAGGTGTTGGTAGATTATATGGAACAGTGAATTGTTACTGACCCAAGAGATACATGGCATGCTAGAAAAACTAACATTAACCAATAACTACACATAATGCTACCCTGACTTTATCCACACATAATTAGAAATACTGCTCCTCACACTGTTACACACATACACTGCTACTCATATTGCTGCCCACATTACACATACATACACCTACCCACACACACTATTACTACCCACACACCACTATAGACACTTATGCACATACTACTAGTACTCACACTGCCACACACTAAACATATATTTACTGTAAGCTCGTTTGAGCAGGGTCCTGTAAGTTTTCTTGTAATTGTTCTATTTATAGTTAAATCCCCCCTCTCATAATAATGTAAAGCGCTACGGAATCTGTTGGCGATAATAATAATAATTTAATTCCACACTGTGCACACACTACTGTACATGCTGCTACCCACACTGTTGCCAACATAAACTGCTGATCATAAATTGTACAAAAAACACTTAGACACACATACATGCATATTCATGCACTCAGACATATAAACAAAATGTTTCACATGTGCACACTACACACACATACATGCACACACACACTTTATATGTGTGCATGTACAACATGTTTTATTATATTTAAATGGTCAAGCTTTTATTTTATATTAGTTTGAACACTACCCATATGCACAAACACACTCTGATTACCTACTTACCGGTAATTGTGCTCATTCTGAAAATAGCAAATTCATACCTACCCAGCGACAAATGCAATCATTAAAACACACATACACACATAAACAGTAGTCTAAAACCCTCAACTACTTACTGACAAACACTACATTGACACTTGCACAAACCACTTTATACTAGCCCATCAATTAAGTTAACTACACAAACTCCTCCCACACTTTAAACCTACCTGTGCTTATATCTGCTTACAGTGGCACCTACAACAACATAAACTAACTCTTATAACTATCTATTGACACAAATCCATCCACATACATACTATGACCTCTATGTACACTTCCACAGATAAAAAAAAAATACTCCTGATACCAAAGATCATGTTTGAATCCCACCTTACCAGTAAGTGTCCTTGGGCAACACACCTGATATCCACCTACCTCTAATCCTCATAGATGATAAGCTTTTTTTTGTAGAAGGCCTTCAAATATCCCCTTTCTATAATAAAATAATTGCACAGTATGTTAATTTATTTAAATTATACAGGGCGGGGATGGGATAATGCCACATACATTATCTATGATAGGGTACAATGCTCACTCTCCACTTATTCTTGGTTTGTTATATATAAAGAGTGTGCTTGGCATCCTCCAACACTGGAGTGTCGCAGAGCTGTAAAAATGTATCTAGTTGAAAAAAACAGTTTAGATTTGTTCTGTGTACATAGCTTCCAGTGATTCCGAATCCATTAGGTTCGTCCTGATTTCAGTGTTCTGTGTTGCTGTTACAGGTTTGTTCCCTAGTGTCCTGCATCTGGAGATGCCATGGAATATCCTCAATCAGCCCAGCACAAGTGCTAAATTACACATGCTTGGGGCACTAAGTCTAGGTTAGATCCTTTCCAAAGCATTCTGTGCATTGTCTGCTCTGAGTGGAATGCGGCAGACCAGCTAATGCCCCCATTTTTAAGAGGAATGATGCATGTCTCTGTTGTAAACCGATTCCTTAGTTATAACAGGATTATTCACTAAAGTGAAAAGGTGAATTTCAAATTAATTTCAAATTTAAAGGAACACTATAGGGTCAGAAACACAAATATGTATTTCTGACTCTATAGTGTTAAAACCACCATCTACCCCTCCGTGCTCCCCTCCTAAATATAGTAAAATCTTACTTGTATTCAAGTCTGTGGCTGCTGCCTCTGCCCCTGATCTGCCCGCTTGGCTGACATCATCAGAAGTTGTGTTTTGAGCCAGGATTGGCTGAGACTGTCAAGGAGGCAGATCAGTGGCAGAGCCAACACAAGTCAAACACAGCCCTGGCCAATCAGCATCTCCTCATAGAGATGCATTGAATCAACGAATCTCTATGAGGAAAGTTCAGTATCTCCACACTGTGCAGCACTGCCCCTGGAAGCACCAGTAGTAGCCATCTGACGAGTGGCCAGTGGAGTTATCACTAGGCTCTAATGTAAACACTGCATTTTCTCTGAAAATACAGTGTTAACTGCAAAAAGCCTGAAGGGAATGATTCTACTCACCAGAACAAATACAATAAGCTGTAGTTGTTCTGGTGACTATAGTGTCCCTTTAAAGTCAAAATAGGTATACTGGAAAAATAATAGTCAGTTATAATTTCAATTCAGCTATTCTGGCCTTACATTTTAAATTTACTTGTAATTCACACTTTAGTAAATAGACCTGTAAGTTTCACACTCTACAATAGATTTTTCTAAGACTCGTTATCTGAAAGTGATGGAAAGATATAAAAGCAGAGCAGTAATTAATGTAACTATTGATTCTATTGGTTTCCATAGTTACTTTCCAATTTTAGTACTTTGCACCACTTTTAAGATCATCTCATTTTAACCTCTATAGTGGTTATGCTGCTATTAGTGCCCTGCTGCCCTACCATAGTAAGTAGTCAAAATTATTAATAATAGTTCGACAACTGTCCTGCTGGGCACCTGCTGCTGGGAGGTCCTGCCACTTACCTATGCCTGGCTGTTCTCATTGGCTGAGAGTGCTCAGTTGATACTTTTAACCAATGATTGTGACCCTGCACCGCAGGTCTTAACTTGGGTTCTCTGAGGGATGGAGGGGTGACAGGCACCCAGTATGGCCCAGGTACATTTTCAAACAGTTCGACTACTTACTCTAGCACGGTGCCAAATCATTCTTAGCACCATTACCACTACAGGGGGCTGTAGTGGTTATGATGCTTGAAGTGTTCCTACAATTTTCCATTTCTGTACACACTTATATAAACCCATATTAGCAGGAAGGCAAGTGATGTTTTTTCAACTCAAAGTAAAAAACAAATTCTGAAATCCATTAAATCGGCTGGAAGTAAACAGAAGAGTAAAACCAATATTGGGAGCTATAGACGTGAAAATGTATGTTGGTGATGAGGGATGGACCCATTTGGAAGATGGCATCCTGCCTAAAAACAAGATATTCCAGGCCGGCGTGTTGCCTCTGTGGCTGGCTGCACTCAGGGCGTGACAGGAGACAGAAACTGTAGCTGTGCTGCCAAATCTGATACAGTTGGGAGGTTTGCAGAAATGAAATTAATAAACACTTATATTTTTGTGACCTGCACCTGCACATGCACCTGCTAGTGGTCAGAATTCTTTTACTGCTCAATTTTCACTCTCCACACACTAAATTACTCTATGTGTCAATCAGCAGCTTTGCAACAGGATTTGGAATTGTGATTGTAGTGACTTCACCTTTGTTGGTTTTCTTTTTAACTATATTGTTTGCAAAATGTTTGACCACTTAATGGCGGAACAATGTCAGGTTACTTCAGACACCATAACCACTTAAGTGAACTGTATAAGTTATGGTACTTAAAGTTCTATTTTAGTTATTTTTTTTACTCATTGGGTGATTTCATTAATTTTTCAATATTCTTTTTTTGCATGAGATGGTACTGGTTTATGTTTCATATGCTAAATAGTGATGTCGCGAACACGAAATTTTCGGTTCACGAACGGCGAACGCAAACTTCCGCAAATGTTCGCGAACCGGCGAACCGGGTGAACCGCCATAGACTTCAATGGGCAGGCGAATTTTAAAACACACAGGGACTCTTTCTGGCCACAATAGTGATGGAAAAGTTGTTTCAAGGGGACTAACACCTGGACTGTGGCATGCCGGAGAGGGATCCATGGCAAAACTCCCATGGAAAATTACACAGTTGATGCAGAGTCTGCTCTTAATCCATAAAGGGCATAAATCACCTAACATTCCTAAATCACAATGGATATGGATTGACATATGACATATTGACACCTTGACATATGGATTGACACCTGTCCTCAGAGCCCCTGATACACACTGACACAGAGCAGAATAGAGACTGTTCCTCCTACATAGGGTCACTTGGCAGATATGGATTGACACCTGTCCTCAGAGCCCCTGATACACACTGACAAAGAGCAGAATAGAGACTGTTCCTCCTACATAGGGTCACTTGGCAGATATGGATTGACACCTGTCTTCAGAGATCATGATACACACTGACACAGAGCAGAATAGAGACTGTTCCCCTACATAGGGTCACTTGGAAGATATGGATTGACACCTGTCCTCAGAGACCATGATACACACTGACACAGAGCAGAATAGAGAATGTTTCCCCTACATAGGGTCACTTGGCAGATATGGATTGACACCTGTCCTCAGAGCCCCTGATACACACTGACACAGAGCAGAATAGAGACTATTCCTCCTACATAGGGTCACTTGGCAGATATGGATTGACACCTGTCTTCAGAGATCATGATACACACTGACACAGAGCAAAATAGAGACTGTTCCCCTACATAGGGTCACTTGGCAGATATGGATTGACACCTGTCCTCAGAGCCCCTGATACACACTGACACAGAGCAGAATAGAGACTGTTCCTCCTACATAGGGTCACTTGGCAGATATGGATTGACACCTGTCCTCAGAGCCCCTGATACACACTGACACAGAGCAGAATAGAGACTGTTCCTCCTACATGGGGTCACTTGGCAGATATGGATTGACACCTGTCCTCAGAGCCCCTGATACACACTGACACAGAGCAGAATAGAGACTGTTCCTCCTACATAGGGTCACTTAGCAGATATGGATTGACACCTGTCCTCAGAGCCCCTGATACACACTGACACAGAGCAGAATAGAGACTGTTTCCCCTACATAGGGTCACTTGGCAGATATGAATTGACACCTGTCCTCAGAGCCCCTGATACACACTGACACAGAGCAGAATAGAGACTGTTCCCCCTACATAGGGTCACTTGGCAGATATGGATTGACACCTGTCCTCAGAGCCCCTGATACGCACTGACACTGAGCAGAATAGAGACTGTTCCTCCTACATAGGGTCACTTGGCAAATATGGATTGACACCTGTCCTCAGAGATCATGATACACACTGACACAGAGCAGAATATAGACTGTTCCCCCTACATAGGGTCACTTGGCAGATATGGATTGACACCTGTCTTCAGAGATCATGATACACACTGACACAGAGCAGAATAGAGACTGTTCCCCTTCATAGGGTCACATGGCAGATATGGATTGACACCTGTCCTCAGAGACCATGATACACACTGACACAGAGCAGAATGGAGACTGTTACCCTACAAAGGGTCACATGGCAGATATGGATTGACACCTGTCCTCAGAGCCCCTGATACACACTGACACAGAGCAGAATAGAAACTGTTCCCCCTACATAGGGTCACTTGGCAGATATGGATTGACACCTGTCCTCAGAGACCATGATACACACTGACACAGAGCAGAATAGAGACTGTTCCTCCTACATAGGGTCACTTGGCAGATATGGATTGACTCCTGTCCTCAGAGACCATGATACACACTGACACAGAGCAGAATAGAGACTGTTCCTCCCACATAGGGTCACTTGGCAGATATGGATTGACACCTGTCCTCAGAGACCATGATACACACTGACAGAGCAGAATAGAGACTGTTCTCCTACATAGGGTCACTTGGCAGATATGGATTGACACCTGTCCTCAGAGACCATGATACACACTGAAACAGAGCAGAATAGAGACTGTTCCTCCTACATAGGGTCACTTGGCAGATATGGATTGACACCTGTCCTCAGAGCCCCTGATACACACTGACACAGAGCAGAATAGAGACTGTTCCTCCTACATAGGGTCACTTGGCAGATATGAATTGACTCCTGTCCTCAGAGCCCCTGATACACACTGACACAGAGCAGAATAGAGACTGTTCCTCCTACATAGGGTCACTTGGCAGATATGGATTGACTGTTCCCCCTACATACACACTATTGGATCTCGCAAAACTTACCAAGGATCTAAATCATGTTCCCATATCGTACATGAAAAACCTACTCATACAAAATCTCTTCCCAAACGTCATTTTGTTCAAAGTGGAGAGAATGTTAAAAAAATATTTTTGTTCTGAGTGTGAGAAATGCTTTTCAGCCGCTTCCAATCTTAAGCATCATTTGAGGAGCCATACAGGAGAGAAACCTTATTTTTGTTCTGATTGTGGGAAATATTTCTCTCAAAGAGGCCACTTTTATATTCAATCTATAACAGTGAAAAAAGTTTTTTGTTTTTAAATGCAAGCTATTGTGACACCAGATATGAGTGGTGGCACTGACTGGGCAAATGGGCACAGTATCCACTTGAGCCTGACACACCCGCTTTGAGACAACTAACTGCTATTCAATCTATAACAGTGAAAACATTTTTTTGTTTTTAAATGCAAGCTATTGTGACACCAGTGAGTGAGTGGTGGCACTGACTGGGCAAATGGGCACAGTATCCACCGTGAGCCTGACACAGAAGCTGGCAGCAGTGGCAGACAACTAACTGCTATTCAATCTATAACAGTGAAAAAAGTTTTTTGTTTTTAAATGCAAGCTATTGTGACACCAGTGAGTCAGTGGTGGCACTGGGCACAGTATCCACTGTGAGCCTTACACACCCGCTTTAAGGACACTGACTGCTATTCAATCTATAACAGTGAAAAAAGTTTTTTGTTTTCAAATGCAAGCTATTGTGACACCAGTGAGTGAGTGGTGGCACTGGGCACAGTATCCACTGTGAGCCTGACACACCCGCTTTAAGGACACTGACTGCTATTCAATCTATAACAGTGAAAAAAGTTTTTTGTTTTTAAATGCAAGCTATTGTGACACCAGTGAGTGAGTGGTGGCACTGGGCACAGTATCCACTGTGAGCCTGACACACCCGCTTTGAGAAAACTAACTGCTATTCAATCTATAACAGTGAAAAAAGTTTTTTGTTTTTAAATGCAAGCTATTGTGACACCAGTGAGTGAGTGGTGGCACTGGGCACAGTATCCACTGTGAGCCTGACACACCCGTTTTGAGACAACTAACTGCTATTCAATCTATAACAAGTGAAAAAAGTTTTTTGGTTTTAAATGCACGCTATTGTGACACCAGATATGAGTGGCAAAGTACACTGGCAGAAGTCTGCAGAGCACACGCTGAAGGAGGCCTGACACCCGCTTTAAGGACATTGACTGCTATTAGCTTACACTGAAAAACTTTTTTTCTTTGTAAAAGCACGCCATAGAGACACCAGATATGAGTGGCAAAGTACACGGGCAGAGGTCTGCAGAGCACACGCTGAAGGAGGCCTGACACCCGCTTTAAGGACACTGACTGCTATTAGCTTACACTGAAAAACTTTTTTTCTTTGTAAAAGCACGCTATAGAGACACCAGATATGAGTGGCAAAGTACACGGGCAAAGGTCTGCAGAGCACACGCTGAAGGAGGCCTGACACCCAGACGCTTGCAGACAACTAACTGCTATTCAATCTATTACAGTGAAAACATTTTTTTTTAAATGCAAGCTATTGTGACACCAGTGAGTGAGTGGTGGCACTGGGCACAGTATCCACTGTGAGCCTGACACACCCGCTTTGAGACAACTAACTGCTATTCAATCTATAACAGTGAAAAAAAGTTTTTTGTTTTTAAATGCAAGCTATTGTGACACCAGATATGAGTGGTGGCACTGACTGGTCAAATGGGCACAGTATCCACTGTGAGCCTGACACAGAAGCTGGCAGCAGTGGCAGACAACTAACTGCTATTCAATCTATAACAGTGAAAAAAGTTTTTTGTTTTTAAATGCAAGCTATTGTGACACCAGTGAGTGAGTGGTGGCACTGGGCACAGTATCCACTGTGAGCCTGATACACCCGCTTTAAGGACACTGACTGCTATTCAATCTATAACAGTGAAAAAAGTTTTTGTTTTTAAATGCAAGCTATTGTGACACCAGGAGTGAGTGGTGGCACTGGGCACAGTATCCACTGTGAGCCTGACACACCTGCTTTAAGGACACTGACTGCTATTCAATCTATAACAGTGAAAAAAGTTTTTGTTTTAAATGCAAGCTATTGTGACACCAGGAGTGAGTGGTGGCACTGACTGGGCAAATGGGCACAGTATCCACTGTGAGCCTGACACAGAAGCTGGCAGCAGTGGCAGACAACTAACTGCTATTAAATCTATAACAGTGAAAAAAGTTTTTTGTTTTTAAATGCAAGCTATTGTGACACCAGTGAGTGAGTGGTGGCACTGGGCACAGTATCCACTGTGAGCCTGACACAGAAGCTGGCAGCAGTGGCAGACAACTAACTGCAATTACATTACACACACACAAAAAAAAGCAGACTGATGTTCTAGCCCTAAAAAGGGCTTTTTGGGGTGCTGTCCTTACAGCAGAGATCAGATGAATCCTTCAGGACTGTAGTGGACACTGTATACCCTAACCTAGCTATGCATTTCCCTATCTAATCAACAGCAGCTACACTTTCCCTCCTCTCACTAAGCATGCAGCTTGAGAATGAATCTAAAATGGATGCCTGTCCAGTAGGTGGGAGGGTCTGCTAGGGAGGGTGTGCTGCTAATTGGCTGGAATGTGTCTGCTGACTGTGAGGTACAGGGTCAAAGTTTACTCAATGATGACGAATAGGGGGCGGATCGAACCACGCATGTGTTCGCCGTCCGCGGCGGACGCGAACACGCTATGTTCGCCAGGAACTGTTCGCCAGCGAACCGTTCGGTGCATCACTAATGCTAAATCAAGAAACAAGCTGTATCATGTATAGACAATAGACTAACCTTTTTGGATATATATTTCCAGCTGACTGAAACGCCATTTCCTAAAAGAGCTTTTATCCATTGAACAGGATTATGATATTTTGTTCCAGTACAGTCTCTTATTTTGCCATCAACCAAAATGCTGGCTTTGTGTTTTCTGCCCTAAGAAAATCACACGAGAAACAGTTATTTGAACACCATTCACATACATATTCAATCTGTATACACATATATATTTGTCTGCAATTGCTAAAAGTTAAAATGAATAAGAAAAGACATTGCACCCACCAGCACATATGACTTAGCCAGCCCAGACCTCTGTTCTTTGCTGCCTAATGTGAATTCTGTGCATAAAAAACATCTATAAATGTGTGCCGACGATAGACGTAACTGCTTCTCTCTTGCAGGCAGAGCTCTCCTCACTCCCTCAATGAAGGAACCCCTCCCTTAACGAAAATATACATTTTTTTTTTTTAAGATGGTTATCCCATTCTACTAATAGATAAATTTTTATGTCATTCTTTATTTTTCTTGTGCATATGATAACAGACACGCTTGCAGCGCCACGACTGCAGATGCAAGCAATACAATAGCAATCAATGACATGGCAGAGAAAATAGCACATTTTATATTTGTTAGAGAAATTAGGCTAGGAATACTTGAGTGAACTATAGTAGAGTAGCTAGGCTACGTATGCATGCTTAAAGAACAGTTATGCTTAGAACTTAAGACACATTGCATAGAAAATTACCACTGGGACTGCAGTTAAGGTCCATGAGACACAATAAGCCTAAGAAAGCAAACACAGTAAAACTAAAAGACAACAGGTCAACATAAATTAGCCTAGGCCTTATGAATTTATATTGCTATAGATAGACCTTCCAAATCTATTGAATGTGGCTTTAATTCCCACTGTCGGCATAGTGAGCGAGCAGGTTTGCTGTCCTAGTTCTCCCTCTCATTACCGGCATGGATATGCTTGAGTCCACTTCCAAGTGGGGAGGTCTGGAGCCCACAGGTTCTCTGCTACATGGATTTCCCTCAGGGTATATGGACTGCGACTGGGAGGTAACTCCGATTGGGCCTCCAGCCCAGAAGAGGGACAGTTTGCATAGCCTGCAGTGTGGGACTTCTGAGCTGCCAGAGCTTAAGGTATTGCAATTCGGCT